GAGCGTCTCAACCAGGTGGAAGGTCTGATGAAAGAGAAACCATCAGATGTTAAACATCAGTTAAAGGAAACTGTACTAACTCCAGAACTGTTTTTATTGAGTGCAATGCCAGGTAACATAGATGAGATTAAGAGTTACCCTGTGAGCTATTTAGCTACAATAGTCAGAAAAGGTGATGTTAAAAATCATATTACTGTCCTAGATTCAACCCTATATCCCAAAAACTGGAAGAAAACAGAGTCATGGAAAAAAGAGAAGTGCACTGAGAAAATATGGGAAATGATAGAAATGGCTACTTTTTCAGGCATGTTGAACGTATGTCCAAGACAGAAGGAAATTGAAAGAGGGGATGTATTTTACAATTGGTCATGGTTTCCTGATAGTGCTGGAGTAGCTTAGATTTAAACTAAAACATAAATGTAAGCTGATAGTTAGAGGGAAATCAAACAGTAAAAAAAAGGAGTAAAAAGTTGTTTGTTTTTTTTGGAAAAATGAATAGATTCGATGCTTGTATACTTAATATGAATAGATTGGATGATTATATATTCTGTGCTCTCCTATCCTTAAAATACTTTTCCCGTCCCTTCCACTTCCTTTTATCTTTTGTATTCCCTACCCTATTCCTAGTAGTTTAAAAATAAAATATTTTTTTAAAAAAACTCTCCCATACCAATGTTGGAGGCTACAGCTTCTCTGTATTTGAATTTGTTCTTCAGAAATGATGCACAGTTCTTTCCTAATAGTAGCTCTGTGGTTATTTGTTTTCATCCATATTGCCCTAATATAGAAAAACACATGCGGATATGTAAATCCCATAAAACATCTTGTATTTATTCCTTTGAAATTTTGCTGGATTCATATCCCTAAAGGGGGCAATTGTGTCTGGATAGGTTGTCCACTTCTGTGCAATATAAAATACATTACAGCCATTTATGTACAGGTACTTAGTTTTGGTGAATTTCTGTGTGAAGAGCATTCCCCCCTTCTATGTCCCACCTCTATATTTGTTGATTTCTCAGTGATGGTCAGTTGGGAAGCACAAAGCCCTACATTCCTAGAAGCAAACTAGGTAGCCTTTGAAACAGTCAGAGGTGACGTAGGTTTCTTTACAAAGCACCAACATGAGATACAAACCAAATCCTGTTACTAAAATCCCCTCCTGGGTAGCATTACAATGTCATCACATTCACAATTCAATCTCTATTTAGTTAGAATCACAAATATAAGAAGTGGAAAAAGCATTGCCTTCACTCTGGATCTGCATTTTTTAAAACTGTCAGTGATGTCAACCTATTCACTTTAAGACCTTGACAGGATGGGAGAGGAATATGACCTAACTTGGTGGTGGTGGGGAGAATGGTGCTAGAGTAGCAACTCATAAGGAGAACAATGAATGGCAGGGTTCAAAGAGAAGGGAACATTTAAGGACAAGGGATATATTTCTGCCCTTCTCACCACATGTATTACTTCTTCCTGTGGTTCTGTGCCACCAAGTCACTTCCACCTTATGGTGATTCTATGAATTGTCTGCTGTTGTGTGCCATCATGCAGTTTCCCATGTGTAACAACCATATGGATTAGTGACTGCCAAAAGATCCTTTGATTAACAAGCCTGCTCAGGTCTTCCAAATGAAAGTCCATGCCTCGCTTAATACGTCAATCCATCTCATCTGAGGTTTTTCTTTTTTCATACTGCCACCACTTTGGATTCTTAAGACGAGGCAAAGAACAAATAATTCTTATAATGTAACACACACACAGAGAGAGAGAGAGAGAGAGAGAGAGAGATTTTCCTTACCTTCTGCTGAGGGCTTATTAAGCCACTTAATGATACTGGCAAATTGAAAGAGGAAGGCTTGCTTTGGATGGGTTCCAGCAATAACACACACTGGAACTGATCCAAACCAGAGTGGTTCTGCTTACACCAGAAAAGTAGAAGCACCTCTATGGCCTTGACTATGGCCAGAGAGGAAGACTTTGAGGACAGGCTGGTGTGCTCTAGCACCTAGGTTCTTAACGTGGGCGATAATGCCCCCCAGGGGGCGATTTCATTTTTCAGGGGGGCAGTAGAACGAAAAGGGGTGGTTTGGGAGCGGCAGAACAGAAGGTGCGGTAGGGGGGTGCTGGAGCAAACCAAACCTGTGAAGGCGGCTGCAGCCGCGGTGCTGGCAGTGGATCCGGTGCCGCCACTGCCAGACAATCCAGCTCTTTCTGCCTGCCA